CTCTGCCAATCAGCCCAAAACCGACCCTAGGTCGCGAGGACCCGAAATCGACATCCGGGTCTATTTGATCATCAGTCTAAGAGCTCAGTCGCTGTCTCACGCTCATTCGACGATTTCTGAAAGCCGAAGACCGAAAAACCCTAGTCCAAACTGGTTGCCTCTATCCCTTTTACAATGAAAGGAGATCACTGAACGGCAATGTCGTGTAACCTTAAAGATTCTGAACTGTCGGTGACTGCCTGAGCCCCTACATTGCGCTAGGTTTAATAAAAATAGATCTGGGTTTAAAACTCGGGTCCTTTTGACCGAGATTAGGAAAGGACTGGAGTTGGCTTGCCCCGGTAGTAGGTCATGAGCAGGCTATGATCACTGCAACCACCAGGCCAGGATTCGATTAGGAGATAAAGGAATGCCAGTAGTGGGAGAGCCATATTCTATACGGACTGAAATAAGAAAGTGTTGTTGGGGTAAGTTGGCACCCAGAAGCGAGTGCGGCGCCCTCTGAGACGGGATCCAAATAATCCGACTGAGAGTACGTCCGCGCCAACTTTGCATTTGATTGGCCGGTCATCGCATCGGTCAGTGCATATCCTATTCAGAAATAGAACGAGCAAAACATTAATAGTTTCAGCAAAATATCAGTATTTATATGGGTGCTCTGCCGTGCATTCATAATCGAAGGACGGAGTCTAAAAGCGGTCAAAAACAGTGCAAATGACCGCAATATATAGCAAAAGGCATGTTCTTACGTTTGCGGTTGAGACATATTAGTATTTATGAACGTGGAAGAAACGGCCAAAAGTGTCAAATTTTTACTTGACCTCAACATGCAGCAATGCAAAGTACACAGAGATCCGTCAACGCTGTGCTGTAATAAAACACTTCTTAAAGAGGTAACTTATTAAGGAAAGTTTTTTTTAGTGATCGAAGGCATATTCGTTGCCGATTTTCGTTGTGGACAGCCATTTTTCTCAAAAATGATGTTTGATGTTTCAATGAGTCCTCACTTGTGACCCAAAGGACCATCTTCGTGAAAAGGAGCACCCGAGCACTCACTAATTCGGTAAATGCTTTTAAGAATAATCTTACTTTAAAGTTCTCAACAGACAGGTAGTTCAGAATCTGTCTTTATGGACGACCGGGTGATAACACTGAAAATCATGAAGTATTCAGCAAAATTTCAAGGCCGGTCTGAAACTCAGCGTAATCCAAAACGAATGAAAGGTGTAAATTAAATTAACGAAAGAGAAGTTCTCTCTATAAACACAAAATGGCCTGCTTACAATCACTCTGTCAGTTCTATTTCAATTTATTAGGCACCGATCGGCCTGACAGCAAGTCAACTTATGAAAACTTCTGTTCCTCCGAGGTCCCCATCGGTTAAATCAAACAAAATCCCGTTTCTCTTGTTGAAACCCATTTCCTTTAATTCATACAAGTTAAGAATAGCACGAATCCCTGGGAAACTGTTTTGGAATCTACACTCAGAATGTAGGCAGTTGACAAACCGCCATGTAGGAAGTCACACTACTTATTAAACGATATTTAGATGTAAACTTCACTGAAACGCTGTTATTAGACGTGATTTTATGTCTACTTCCATATTTACTACGTGTTTGGTATGAGAATACATTCTATACATCTAAAAACGAACTTTACTTAATTAGAGCCTTTTCTGACGTTTCCGGGATATTGCGATTTTCAAAATAAATCTGCATTTCTCAACAACGCAACCCTGCCTTAATTTTTTTTGTTTTTCTGTTTTGTTTGTTTTGTTTGTTTTTTTGTCTTTAATTCTTTGAAACATGTACTTAATTAACATAGACATTGGACTCATAAAACATTGTCGGTTTGGGAGTGATTGACAATCATTCGTAAATTTCGACACATTTCATGAGTTAGGTCACTAACTGTACGTCCGCGCCAACTTTGCATTTGATTGGCTGGCCATCGCATAAAACTTCATAACGTCTGCCAAACGAACAGTGGTTGGTGTGTGCGGGCAAACGTCAGACAGAGACGTGATGCTACAGCAGAGACTGGGCGCAGGACCACTACCGGCCAGCTGATGAGAACCAGCCAGCGAAACTCGGCTGGAAGTATGAGGCGGGTCGTCGTCGTCGTCGTCGACAGTCCGAGGTTCAGCCGAGCCGAAAAGGTCCATCCGCATAGAGCTTTGTACTGGCCAAGGTTAGGCGTCAGATCTGTTTTCGCGAGCCGATTGTGCCGGCAAATTGAAAAACAGGAACTGAGACAGCCCGCATCCTACAGGTTTATGTGACCATTTACTTCCACCTCTAAAAGCTGTTTACACAAAGGTAGCAAAACAATTCGCAGGACGTGGGAGTACCTGAATCCGAACACGCGCTGTCTCGGCTTGTTGTTGTGCCTGCCCAATTTCCATCTAGCATAACGGAGAGCAGGATGCATCCGAGTATACAGAACGTCCAACGCCCCATCAGATTGGGGAGGTTTCGTGCCATCCAAATAATGCAAAATGTGGCATAGCCACACGAATCGCCTCCTCGCACAGGACAATTCGAACAGCTTGGTCAAGTAGAAACCACAATGTGAGTTGTCTGGTATGCACAGGAAATCAAAATCCCTCATAGCCAGGGTCTGGGTCGGGCGAAAGACAAACGAGGACACTGGCAACCCGAGCAGGCCCGTTCAAACTACTGTCAAGTGGCTAAATCTTTTTTTTTTTCAACGGTGTGACCAAATGAAGACTTGCAAGGCTGCTTTACAATATTTTGATTTCCTCAAAAGACTGATCTGGGGGCGAGACATGTTTCTTGTCACGAATACGTAATCAGTCCTGTTTCACCTAATTTTCGCTCCGTTCAGCGGTACAGTATCAACTACAAAAGCTGTGGCGGTTCAAAGGTATTTTTATTTCTGACCTCGTATGTTTTCCGTTCGACGTGATACTACTTGTACACACTGGATGTGGATTGATGAAGACGGGCTTAAGCAAATCCGCACTTGCTGAAAAGGCCTTTAACTGCGGCACGCAGAACCAAATGCCGCCAAATAATTCTAATGGGTCCTTCCACAGCCAAGAGTCAGAAGAGTGTAGCTTCGTACCCTTTTTACCTCGACATGCAAATGTCTTCGGCAGCAATCACTGCTGATGACATACAGTGCGTGACCTATCTCATGAAATGTTGGCTGAAATTCTGAAATGCGTTTTCGATTAGGAAGGATTACTTGGTCGCGGTTGTGATACTGATTATCTTAAGGCGTACTCTTATAACACTTTGGACTTGGCAGGATGTCGGCTTTTAAATGCATTTCTTTTCAATCTCCTATAAAAAACGGTACTCGGTAAAAAATGACTACTTAAGTAGCATGCATTTTTCCCATTGATTTTCGATGGTCTTGGAAATTCAAATATATTTTATAGAAACCACAAAAAAATATGCTTTTTTAGTCAATTAATAAAAAAAATCACGTCTTCTTTATATTTCATGCTTAAGGAAGGAGTATAATTGCGTTTTAATAAAGTTTTCTAATTGCCGAATAATTTGGAGCCTGATCATTCGTTGCATTAGCGCTTAGTGATTACACTCTGCAAAGTGCATGCGTTCCGCGTAAACAATATCCCATATTTTTCTATGCCATTAAAGAGATATCATAAAGGGTCTACAAAATTTTGCAATGAATGCGGACCATGTTGTACATTTCATGAGGAGCAGTAGTAAACGTCCAAGTACGATGCTATGTGAATGGACATATCGCGATCTTAAAAAGTCTCATAATTAGAAACTTTTTTAAAACCTAATTATACTCCTACCTTAAGCATGAAATATAAAGAAGACGTGATTCTATATTGCTTGACTAAAAGAAAGTATATTTTGTTTGCGGTTTCTATAAAATATATTTGAATTTCCAAGGCCATCGAAAATCAATGGGAAAAATGCATACTACTTAAGTAGTCATTTTTTTTACCAAGCACGCATTCTAGAGGAGATTGAAAAGAAATGCATTTAAAAGCCGACATCTTGCCGAGTCTAAAATATTATAAGAGTATGCCTTATGATAATCAGTATTACAATCGCGACCAAGTAACCCTTCCTAATCGAAAACCCATTTCAGAATTTCAGCCAACATTTCATGAGATAGGTCACGCACTGTAAATTCCCCCAAAGGATACCTTACTGAATAACATGTGTGCAGACAAAGTCACCAAAAAACACCGGCTCCTTCGGGGGGGCGGGGGTGGGCGAAATCTAAGAAATTGCCGATTCGGAAGAAACCTACTAACACTAGCTTGTGGCACTCTAACCGGCACGGCGATGAAGACCGAGTCCCCTTGATAGTTGACTGCCTGCGCCGCGTGTGAATCGACCTTCGTCCTATCAGCACCGTGACGCCGATCGACATATTGCTCTTCAATGGTTTATCACAAACTAAACTCTTGCATTGCCGAACATAGCACAAACATCTGGCTCTCAGTTTGGCCGACCAACAACTGCCACAAACCAACCGTTCAGAGATGACAACGTATTTAACACGAATTCCGTTGCACCGTCGATGGTGGTATGATCGACAGCACAAAGATTTCCAAATCAGAAGTCAGGGAAGACGGATTGGGTTGGACAACTTTAGGCATGTGTAAGGGCGTACAATAGGCTCTGCAGGCAGTTGTCGCAGGTTGTCTCTCCAGGCAAGTTGTTCTGTCCTGTATCTGCCGTTGAGGGTATCAGCCCCCAGCGCCTGTATGCGCCTTCCGGTCCGTCTCAGTGTCCGCCAGCCAATCAGAGGAGGGGCAGGGTCCTTGAGCACCCGCGAGGCTAGTGACAAGCCTCGCGCGGTCCTAACAACTAATCAACAGGGAGCGTTGTAGTGACTGAGCGGGCGACGGATGTCGGATTACGAGTTATGAAGGAAAGGGATGATGGCAACTTGAACAGTACAGTACAGTAACTTGACAGTACATAAAAAACACTCAAGATCGGATCCCTGGTCAGATCTCCGACTGCTACATAGCCCTCCCCCTAAGGTGGAGCACTGGCCTCAGTGCTGAGATCGACGGGTGATGAGGGGACGGTGACCTCAATGGCGGCCGGGGGACCTGGTCAGCAGGGAGGATGAGTAAAGAGTCGGGGGAGCAGTTTGGTAGGAAACCTCGGTAGGGCTTAAGCTTATCGAAATGTGCGGTGAAGGGGCGAACGTTAGGGTAGATGGCGTCACGGATAGGAAAGGTGGTGGGTGAGGAGGTGTCTAAGACGACGAAGGGTCCTTGCCAGGGGTAATGAAACTTTGCGGACGTTCCGCGTGGGTTGAAGGGTTGTAATAGATGACAAGGTCGCCGATTTGATGTATAGCGCCGGATAAATGTCGGTCGTGCTGTTCCTTTTGATGGAGCAATGAACTTCCTAGAGTCGTCCGGGTGGCGTTATGTGCGCTACAGATGAGCTCGCGTAGGCGTGTGGCGTAACCGTGTGTGGTGGTTGCATCGGGTCTGGGTAAGGGGTAGAGGAGGTCGATCGGGAGGCGTATGTCTCGTCCGGTCCATAGAGAGTGGGGAGTGAAACCGGTGGAGGAATGGACGGAGTGACGGTAGGCTAAGAGACAGAAGGACAGGTGTACGTCCCAGTCGTGCTCATGGCTGTCCTTAAAAAAAGCGGGTAGGAGGTTGTGCAACGTCCGATTCGTGCGCTCCACAAGGCCGTTTCCTTCCGGATGGCAAGGCGTGGTCCGGGTTTTGTGTATCCGGAGGGTATCACAGACATCCTTGAATAACTGGGAGTCAAAATTGCTGCCATAGCCTGAATGGAACGCTAACGGAACACCCCAGCAGCTTATCCAAGTGCGCGACGGACGTGGCATCCTGTCGGAGGAGGGAGTGGCCTTGACCCATTTGGTGAAATAGTCCACCATGACAAGGACGGGAAAACGGGTCGCCCGTTAGCCTAGCTGCTGGCTACCCGGCGCGTCCACAGGTGGCGGATAGTTGGACGATCTTCAGTGAGGGTTAGCTGCGAAATAAGTAGACCCAGGTCTGATGAATAAACTGTCGCGGACCAGCAGCGACATTGCTACCAGGGTGCGGTGGGCTGAGGTCTGGCACGCTAAAAGCCTTATAAAAAGCCACAAAACCCAATGACGGCATTGTGACATGGCGACCGTAAACTGCCATTAAATAAGTTTACTTGCCACCGCTGCCTTGTGGTTAGGCTTTTAAGCCAAAGCGCTAGAGGAGACAACCTCGAACAAACAATCCGAGCGACTGTTGGGGACACGGTCGTATTCGAAATTCCCAAGACACCTCATGAACTATGTCCGATCACAGTATTACGACCCATGTTACGGCGCCCGCGGGAACCGACGCGCTCCGCAACCCTGGTCCAGTGGTGCGGGCGAATTGTATGCGAGCTGGACTACTCAATCGTGGACGGATTCTTAGTATTGGATGCTGGAATGGGCGGACGTTCCTGGACCCCGGTACCCAAAGTCTTACCGCACGCAGCCATTATCAGTACAACGTGGATGTCTGCTGTCTTTCTGAAGTTCGACTCCCTGACTCAGGCTCCCGTGAAATAAAGATCCCGGGAGTCGAATCACACTCTACCCTGTATCACAGCTGCCCGCGCGATTCTTCTGGTCGACATGGTGTGGCGATCGCCCTATCGCAACAAGCGAACCTCACGCTACTTGCTTGGGAACCACTCAATGACCGGATGGCCTACGTGCGACTGAAGGGTCACTTCACGAACACCTCAAACGTCTCTGTGTACGCACCAACTTCGGCTGCTGAACAGCGCGATAAAGAGGCGTTTTACTCTCAGTTGCAAGCGCTAGTTAAAAGACTGCCTCGCCGCGATCTGCTGTTTGTTGCTGGCAATTGGAATGGTCGAACTGGACCTGGCGTCCCCACAACCAGTCATCTTCTTGGTCTCTTTGGGCTTGGCTTCCGATGTGAAAATGGTGAGAGATTGGTGAACTTCGCTGATCGAAACCGATTGCTTGTCACCAACACATGTTTTCAGCATCGCAAAAAACATCTGCTGACCTGGTATTCAAACGACGGTCATACGGCCAGTCAGATTGACTACATACTAGTCAGCTCAAGGTTCCGCAGCTGGGTTCACGATAGCATATCGATGCGTGGTGCCGAGACTGTTAACGCCCATGGGTCGGATTATGTCCTCGTCCGTACACGCTTGAAAGTTCATTCCTCATCCGCGCCAAAAATGCCACTTCCTAGACGCCTCGATGTCACAAAAATCCGGCAAGCCATCACCGCCTAGGCCCTAAGCAGAGAAATCCGGACCTGTTTTACGACCCGAGCCGACGGGGAAGTCAGTAACCAGTGGTCGTCACTGAAGACTTTAGTCTATGGGGCAGCTGAGAAAATCCTTGGATACACCCAGCGACGCCACAGTGACTGGATCAGTGGAAGAACCCTGCAGTTGTCTGCTCAGACAGCTCGAGCCAGGTCCCGCAACGATGACTGCTTCTGCCAACTTCGGAAGATGACGGCAAATCGGCCAGGGATGACCGGAAGCAATATTGGGCTGAAATAGCGACTTCCATGGAACAGGCCTCGAACATTGGTGACACTTGACAGCTCTAACGTCTGATCCACCAAGTTAGCGGTAAGCCCTCTACACTGAGTGACTCTGTTCGCGGCGTGAACGGCGGCTTTATTGCTGACAACTCGGCCAAAGTCGAGCGCTTGCGTGAGCACTTTGAGCACCATCTGAACTTCGATACCAAACCTACCTCGCCCTTGCTCTCCTCTTCAGCGGTGTTTCACCCCTCTCCTACCTATGCAGTGCAATGCGATCCCCCCCTCTGAAGAAGAAGTCACCTATGCCATACGAAAGTTGCGCAACAATAAGGCACCCGGAGAAGACGGTATACCCGCTGAAATCTTCAAATCTTTTGTCGACAATCTGGCGCCCTGACTCCATGAGGTGATTGAACGAGTGTGGAGAGACGAGGTTGTTCCTGATGACTGGGACTTAGGCATCCTTGTACATATCCTCAAGAAGCGAGATAAGACGAGATGCGAGAACTACCGCGGCATAAGTCTCATCGACGTTGCTGCGAAGATTTTCGCTATTGTCCTACTCAGGCGATTACAGGCTGTGCGCGACTCATGGACGAGGCCCAACCAAGCCGGATTTCGTGCTGGACGTGGATGCGCAGACCAGATATTTACACTGAGGCGCATTCTCGAATTTCGCCATAGCTACCAACAACCGACGGCCGTCTGCTTCATTGACTTTGCCGCTGCGTTCGATTCCGTTCACTGTGAGTCCCTGTAGCGGATAATGCCGCTAGAATGTGTACCAGCAAAAATCATCGCCATGATCAAGGCATATTATTGCTCCTCTACTGCGAGAGTCCTGGTCCGCAACAATCTTTCCCAACCGTTCGGTATTCGGTCTGGCGTCCGACAGGGTTGCATCCTGTCACCCATTCTGTTCAACTATGCCATTGACTGAATCCTGGGGAGGGCCCTACACGAAGGTGACGGTGTTGAGTTTGCACCCGGACACCGACTGACTGTTCTCGGCTATGCCGATGATATCGCCTTACTTGCTTAAACTTTTGATGATCTGCAGTCTATGGTGTCACAGGTGAACTAGGTCGCTAAATCGGTCGGTTTATCCATAAACGCTGCGAAGACCAAAGTGTTTTCAAGCTGCATCCCTGACCAGGAGAAGGCACCCCTCGGGATTGGTGGCTGTCAACTTGAAGAAGTAGACAGTTTTAAATACCTCGGGCGAGGCTGCTGCCTAATGGACAGAATAAGGACGACATTGTCTCCCGAATCGATGCGGCCAGCTGGGTTTTCTCAAGCCTTCGAAAATGCCTATGGATCCGACGTGACCTCTCCATCGCCACTAAGATTTGCGTGTTCCGTGCATCTGACCGGTCTGTCCTTCTCTACGGTTGTGAATGCTGGGCTTTGCGCGTGGAGGACGAGCAAAAACTGGAGGTATTTGACCACCACTGCTTGAGGACCATCTTTCAAGTGAAGTTCACCGACTTCGTCTCAAATGAGACAGTCCGCGCACGCCGTGACAACATCGCAAGGATAACTCAGGTCATCCAAGAAAGACGACTGAAGTGATTCGGGCATGTTCGTCGTCCACCTCAGGAGCTGTGTTACTGCCATCGATCCGGCACCGTTGCCCCATTGGAGGCGTCGAAGAGGGGGTCAGTTCCAAAACCTGGCTCGATACAGTTCGTCAAGACGCCGAGGTGGTTCTTGGACCTGCGGTATTCGGTCTACGTCGTTGGCGAAGGGAATGGGTTGAGCTGTCCAGATCTGCTGCCGCGGATCGTCATGCATGGAGAGGTACAGTTCGGGACATCATCGAGGCCGGCTAAATCGGGCGTGATCGCAGCCGTATCAAGTACAAGTAAGTAATTACAAGGATGTATTCGTATCCACAGACAGAGATGGGAAGCGGCCCGATGATGTCAAGCCCGACGCGTTTACCAGGGGACCCGGTTGTCATTAGTTGCATTGGGGCTCGGGGGGGGGGGCTAGCAACTAGAAAAAACAGCAGACAGCAAGGAAGCTCAGACTGCCACAACACCCTCCTCCTCCGGCTAAACCGAAGGCGGAGTGTAGCGACGCCGAAGAAAGTGTTTATGTCTAAAATACATGAATAGTCAAACGGCTAGCAAAATGAACATGACGTCCACTACGGATGATATATACGGGGGGCACAGGGACCGAGTGAGTATGTCCTGCGGCTACAGTGTTGGGGGTTGATGAAGGGGTAGTTGCAATTGGGGGTAGCGGATAAGGGGGAGAGGGAGAGAGGAGATATTGATATAGAGGGTCGCGGAGGTGAAGCAGAAGGTAGGGTAGAACAGGGCTCATCCGAAGGAGTGTCTGGAACAATAGCTTTGGGACGCCGAAAGCCCACGAGTTGGATGCAGAAGGTCATCGTCCCACGAGAGATAATTCGGAAGGGGCTGTCGTTGGGTGGCTTCAGTAGGCGACGGACTCGACCACATCAAAGACAAACGTGAGAGCATGTCACCAAGTTTTTCTAGGAGACGGATGGCCTGAACGGAACCGGAAAAAGTGTCCGCATATATTGCCGGAGACAGTGCAGGAGGTTGGTGGGATCGTTGACCTCACCTCGCGGGGTTGGCGAGATCATCTCACCAGGAAGTCGGACGACAACGCCGAACACCAGTTCAACAGAGGAAGAGTTAAGGTCCGACTTAAGAGAAGGGCGAATGCCCAACAGAACCAGAGAAGGTGGTCCGCCCGTTTATCTGAGTCGTCTGCAGCACGTACGGAGGTCTTCAAAAGGCGGTGAAACCGCTCGACCATCCCGTTGGCTGCCGGATGGCAGGCTGTAATGTGGATACGAGTAGAGCCTATAAAAAAGAGAAGAGACTGGAATCGGTGAGATTCAAATTGGGCAGCGCAGTCAGTCGTGATAGTGGGGGAGGGGAGGGGGGCGGACAACGAAAATGGCAACCCAACGACTTAGGAAAGCCTTGTCGACTGTTGGAGCAGCGACATCGGGCGGAGGAATATCCTCCGGCACCAGGTGAATCGATCCACACAGGCGAGGAGATGTGACCAGCCATTTGACAGAGGCAGGGGTCTACAATGTCCAGGTGGACGTGACTGAAACGAACACCCGGAGTGGGGAAGGTGACGATGGGAGCTTTGTTGTGTCGTTAGACCTTACTCGCTGACAGCCGAGACACGCCCGTGTCCATGCTTTCAGGTCCTTGAGCATCCCAGGCCAGACAAAGCGGCCGGAAACCAACTTGTCGGTAGCTCGACTCCCAGGATGAGAATGGTTGTGGAGGGAGGAGAGGACTTTGCGGCGGAGGGATGCCGGTACAAAGGGACGGTGGGAGGCGGTGGAGACGTCGCGTAGAATGGTGCCGTTGTCATTAGTCAGTGGCAGGTCCTGGAGTTGGAGTCCGGGAACTTGCTCATCACAGGGAGATCTAATAAGAGGCTGTTCGGCAGCCATTTCAACCAGGTCAATTCGGGAAGGAAGTTGGAAGTGTGCGATTTAGGGCCTAGACAGTGCGTCAGTCACCTCATTGCGTGACCCATCGATGTGGCGGATGTTTGAGGTGAACTGAGAGATGTAGTCCAGTTGGCGACTTTTTTGGAGATTGAGTCTGTCAGAGGAGGATTTGAAAGCGAAGGAAGGGGCTTGAGATTCGGAAGACGGTAAAGTCCTTAACCTCAAGGGAGCGCCGGAAGTGTTTCACGGCGAGGAAGGCAGCAAGGAGTTCTCTTCCAAATGTGCTGTACCACGTCTCATCAGCTGGCAACTTCCTGGAGAAGAAAGCTAAGGGTTGAGTGTGGCCTGCAAGGTGCTGCTGGGAAATCGCGCCGACTGAAACATTGGAGGCGTCGACCATGAGAGAGATGGGAACATTGGGAGAAAAATGCGTCAGGAGGGTGGCGTCGGCCAGGGCAGCCTTCACCTCGTCAAAAGCTGCGAGTGCGTCTGCGGATAGTCTGAACGAACGTTTGGGACCCGAGAGGAGGCTCGTAAACGGCAGGATGCTGTTGGCACATTTTGGACGGAACTGCTGATAGAAATTCACCATGCCCAGAAAGCGCTTCAGCGGACGTTAGGAAGAGGGAGGTGGAAAATCCCATATGGCCGCAACCATCGATGAGAGAGGATGGATGCCGTTGGAGTCAACCGGATGGCTGAGAAATTCGAGGGCGGACACCCCGAAGACGTACTTGGATGCAGTCGTGGTCGACGTGAAGGTTGGAGCAGGGGCGGTAGTTGCGGTTGGGCTCGAGGATGACCGACGGGGCCGATCTGCGCGTGGAATGTTCGTTGACAGCGTAGGCACACTGAATGGGGTTGAGTGACGATGCTACGGGTCAGGAGCGCCTGAGACTTGCGATCTTCTCCCATGGCTTTGGCGGCAGTGATCGGTTTGTTTCGTAGTTTGTTGCGCCAGTCTACACTGCTTTTCACCACGCCGGTCTGTCCTGTGCAAAGTCTTTCCAGATCTCCGGGTTGATATTGCCGCTTCAGAGAGTTCCTCAGTGTCCTTGTGACGTCGTTTTTGTCACCCCGGTCGGCGAGCAACCGCCGTGAGTGAGACCCTGCCTATCACGACCTTCAGGCCCCGTTCCAAATGGAAAGAGAAGGTGGACTCCTATTGGCAGGTTGTATATTCTGCACAGGACAACTAGAGAAAGGATTGGAAGGAGTTGGCAGCCTTCGGCGCCGGGAGAACAGCCTGCCAAGTATCAGTCGGGGAATGCGTCAAAAGCGTTTTAAGCCACGGCACGTCTGACTAGGCCTTGAATCTGATTGGCCAGTTGGGAAGCCGATTGGGCGAACGCCAGGCAGCCCTGGTGCGCACGTGCAGACAATCGCGAGAGGCCCGGCATTGCGACGGGAGCTCGGAGTAGGGCTACTACATGTGCTCCTACGTAATTAATGCTGTCGATGGTGGTCGGATGTGATTCGGTGGCCCCACCTGAAGTGAAGAAACCTCAGTCACCTCTAATACGGGACCGATGGTAATAGGGGCTTTTACAGGTGGAGCCGGGGAACGCACAGGCGACGAGGTCAAGTAGTTGTTTGCAAAAACCAAGCTATTGGGAGTGCGTGGTTTTACTGTTAATGGTTGCGAAATCGTTGCGCTAACCCCTAACCCTAGCCCCTTAATATAACCCCTAATCCTAAACCCTAACCCTTAACCCCAACCCCAACAGTATTTGTCCATCAGGTGGGGCTACCAAACCACATCTTACCTTGACGGTTTTAAGTTGAGTGCTGTTGACACCGATGCAAGGAATGATGTAGTCAGTGTTGGACGATGGTTGGTGCATGGCTACCGAAGATGGCGCACCCGGCGGCGAGGAGGTCCATGCTCCGTTGCATGTCTCCTTCGATCGTGGCGTTGAGCGCCCAGTCATCCGCGAAGAGCAGATAGTGAATAAAAATAGCGGAGACGTGTTGGGGCTTGCATGCGTCGGCTACCACAAAGAGGGCTACCGTACCTGTGGACGATGCGGATCTCAGGGCGCTCATCACAATAGGCGTCCGTCAGCATGGCGTAAAACATGAGACTGAAGAGGGTGGGGGCGGGTACGCAGTGTCGTTTCACTCACCTGGTCACTGAGAATGCCTCGGAGGTTGCGCCGTTGTCTGTGACACGCACCATCCTCCGGACGTGGGGGTGACACACCATGTGTGTGCGTCGCCCAGAGCAGCCGAATTTCTGCATGATTTTCCACAGTTCATCGGGATTCACCGCATCAAAGGCCTTGCCAAGTACATGAAGATAGTTTAGGGGTGAGTTTACATCTTCTGGCAATTTTCCTGCAGCTGGCAAGCGCCGAAGACCGTGTCGGTGGTGCTCCGGTGTCGTCGGAAGTCACACCGGCTTTCCGGCAACCGTCCTTGCTGTAGGTGGCCGTTAAGACGATTGAGGAGAAAGCGAGCGAAGATCTTCCCACCCATGCCTCTGTGGTTATCACAAAGCTGCCGGTTCCATTCGCGCTTGTAGAGGTGGACAATTGTCACGTCAATGAAATGCTGAGGGACCTGACCATGGCGCCACATCTCCTAGAAGAGCGCTTTGAGATGATCTCCAAGTCTGTGACCGCCGTGGTAGTAGATTTCAGCTGAGATCGAAACAGGGGCTGAAACTTTCCTGCTGGAGAATCGTTGCACGGCGCAGATGGCTTCTGGAAGGAATGGCGGGTGATCCAGCTTAATGTTGATTTGTACTTGGGGAATACGGTCTATGGCCGCGTCGAAGGTTGAGGAAGAGCGGTTGAGGACGCTTCTGATGTATTCGGCCCAGCGCTTCGTAATCCGTGACTTCTCCATCAGAAAAAATTATCCATCGGAGTTAAGAAGCGGTGCAGTTCTTTTCGTTCGGTGGGGGAAAGGGAGCGTAGACCATCTTGATCGCAACGAAGAAGTTCTTCGTTTCATCGCGGCCGGCATACTTCTGGGTTTCTTTGGCCCTGTGAGCCATCTAAGCGCCCTGCATTCACCGCAAACGTTGCTGCGCAATACGGGGACACTGGTTCAGGGCCGCTTTGTTTGTATCAGTCGGGTGGTCAATGTAGGCTCATTTCGGCAAGCAGGTTACTGATGGCAACGCTGCTTTCGACAAACTACTCCTGAAAATGTTACTGTTCTGTATAGGCCTTCAAACCAACATGCAGACAAAAAGCAAGTATACCACTCGGATTATTGAGGCCATTCAGACGCCAATCAGACACGCATTGGCTCAAACTTTGGCCAATCATATAATCCTTTGCCAGACTCAGTTTAGAAGTTAATGGTTTTTGCACTGCTATAGTCTGAAAACGAGCTGGGGAACTAGTCTCGAAAATTTACTCAACAAAGTTTGCCGTTTCCCAGAGAATTCCATCCTTCTAATTAAATTTCTTGGGATGCCCGTTTTTCAAACAAAATATATATAACGGCGAGAATGGATGACAGGGAATGCGGATAGATTGCTACAGTAATGTTTCGGGTAGCGAGATCGAGACACGCACTGGCGCAAGTCGAAACTGGTTGTTTTGCGTATTTTAGCATATTCAGAAAAAAGTACAGAAAAGTTCAGGTGTAAGGGAGCGAGGAAGGATTGAGAGTGTACATAGACCTACACAGAGCAAGTATGTCGCAGAGAGAACAACATGATCCCAGTGGTCTGCAAGCTCTAAAGTGAACGTCAGTAAATATGTTCTCTGAGATTGAGGCAGTAAAAACATCCCATAAATTAACGCCACTGGAATATGATAGTAGTATCATAACCGTAACTGCCAGATGGACAAGCCGAGGATGGCTGGATGGCATTATGGTGCGTACTGCCATACTGATCCAGCTTCCCCATAAAATCCTCCACAGACGCGGACGTAACGGGATCCACAGACAGGGAATTCCAAGCTTAAAGCACTCTCTTGGAGAAGAACTTCCGTGCGTGCAGCCTGATCCCGCTCACACGCAGTCTGAGTGGGTGAGCCCGTAGCCCCGTTGTAGTTGTTAACTCTAATAAGCTTTCAGGTAAAAGTAGGAGCTCCGGCCACGCATGACGTGCGATGATCGTATCAGTTCACCCCGTAGCCGGCTGTAACTGGAAGGAGAGATATCGAAATTTGATGATCGTATTCTATACAGTACTTAGCCCTGTCAAGCTGCAAGTTTGGTTGCACAGCCCTGAGCTTTTCCGAGGTTGCAGAGGTTTTTAGTGGCTCAGGGTCTCAATGCTTAAATAGCGAACTGCGGTTGTGGCAAAATTGAAAGTCAAAAAACAACTATATTTTGAGCGCTGACCTTCAAAAAACCAAGCTTATTTCTGTATTTTTCAAAAGTTTTTATACCACGGAACACCTCTTTAACCCAGTCCCTCGCCACATTTCGTCAACAGCCCACTTATTAGTACAGAATGATTAACGTCGCAACTAGTTTTGACAGTGTTGAAGAAGTTGTATCCGGCGAAGTCACTTGGACCGAATAAAATCCTGGGTGTACTCCTACGTCAACTACTTGAAGAAGTATCTGAACCACTAAGTACCATATTCTGAAAATCGCTTGAAACTGATGAATTGTCCGATATATGAAAATGGACAAACTTCGTACCTTTCTATAAGGGAGGATCATGGCTGTATTCCACCAACTACCGAACAACCCGCCTAACAGGCATCTGCTGTAAGCTGATAGAGAGGATAGTTGAAAAATTGATCATGCCTTTAAAAACGCCCCGCTGTCAAATCAGCTCAGTTCAGCTTGGTTTCTGTCTTACAAACCTCCTTACCTGGCTTGCGACGTTGGTCGAAGGCGGTGGATAAAAACACCCATCTAATATGATTTGCTTCGATCACATTTAGATCATTAATTTATTATCCTAAAGATGTCACATCTAGAAACTGGAGAGTAACTTTTGAATTTGATTGAAGACTCCGCAAAAGACAAAAACGTTACTGCGGATGGCTACTGTTCAGAATGAGCGCCTGTTAGAAGGGGAGTCTCAAAATGATCAGTGCTTGGACTTATCCTATTCACGATCTATGTAGTTGACATAATAAAAGAAGGAGGGCCAGATTCAACGCTCTTTGAAGATTATTTTAAGCTGTGGAGGACGATAAAAGATGCAGTAGACCACCCAGATATTACACCGACACTTTGAAAAATTGCAGACACGGAGTGAGATCTGGTGCATGAAATTCAATGGGTGACACTGCACAGTATGTCAGCAAGATGCAGAAGAGTGCATCTTTATGACAATATCTTTTTGCAAACAAACCAATTAAAAACGAAAAGGTGCATAATGATCTTGGAGTATTCGTAAAATACCACTTATGCGTAACTACGCAGTGTTCCAAAGACGCCAGAGGGTAATGTCAGCCATGAATGCGGTACACAGAACATTTGTAAACCCAGATTCTGACATCTTCGGTAGGATATGCTAAGCATTTGTGTGACCGTTTCTAGGATATGCTGCGCACGATTGGCAACTGTGGCCTCGGAGAATCATAGAGCTTCTAAAAGATGTACAACAACAAGGTTGTTCTTGGACTCGAAAATTTGCATACAATCTAGGCGTGACCGCCTTAAATCCCTACCATCCCCACTACAGAAAACGCACAACGACCTTAAGGCGAAGTGTTAATTGTTAAGTGTACTTGCTCTTCTTGTTGTTGACCGGGAAATCTTTTCGAAAGCTCGAACGACAAGATTGATTTATAAAAAGGGACCGTGGGACACCAGTCAAGGCTCCAAACTTTTCTCCCAGAGTCATTCATCAGTGGAATTCTTTACTAACGTACGTCGTACATTTCCTCACCGTAAGTGTGCATAAGAGACGTCTGGGTACTCACCGCTGGCGGTCTACCAGAACTCCCACACCCCCTCATCCAATGAGCCGTTACAAATCAAACATACTACTGATTCGATTTCAGTAACTCCCTTTTCGACAACGTATATTTAAACACTGATCCAACGAAGCAGTGCAAAACAGCGAATAGGGGAGAGCAGCCCAAAGGAGCTCACGTTATGCATTTTACGGCGGAGAAGTTTAAAATGGCCCCATCTCCGACCGTCTTCTGATAGCTCGCAGACAAGGAGAAACGCACTGGATGGAAAACGACTTCGCATCTTATTCCCTGAACTCGTGTAACGTCGCAGTATATCATGAATAAGCTTGTGATCGGCATTCATTTGTAGAGGTGCATGTGCTACCGCTGGATGCGGGGAGTAATCAGATCTTTCATTTGTGATAAGTCTAGGCATCCACAAAAATCAAAGTACCACCAGCGACACCTTTTAATTGCAAAAAAGAGCTACAGTAAGCAAGAGTCAAACGGATGTTGTCTTTTCTGCGAGAAACCAAATCGTCTGGTCACGCACAGCTCCGTACGCCGCGACAATGATTAGACACCGAGTTTAAGGAGAGTCATTGTCTTCCTGACCTTGGCATCAACCGTGCACCTCACCGACTCAGTTACGTAAACTGACTCCCCCAGACAGCGCTTGCAAGCAGTATTCTCACTGCTGATCCCTTTGAGACATTCTTTGCAACCGGGCAGTTTGGAGATGTGGCTCTCATGCGGCCGCAAGCACTGCATGCAGACTGCAACGCCAGACTTGGCGATGGTAGGACCGACGCATTTTTTGCAAGTAGAGCTGTTCGTCCAAGCGAAGATCCATTCAATGTCCTTCTCGCTCTTCACGATGATCTCCCACTTAATGAGACTCTCCAGGTAGGCGAGGCATGTGGAGGGGATGTTGGGCTGGAAGTGCTTTGTCAGGGAGGTGCTGATAGACGTAAGCACGTTTTTCTCATGAACGGCAGAAAACACGCCTATTATGAAAAGAAGTGCAGTTACTGCGATTATCTTCATGGGAGAGTCTTTCTGTAATTCTACCAGGGGCTAACGTTTACTGAGTATCAATAGGA